ATCACTGTCATATCGAGACTGGTGCCGCACGCCAACCAACTGCCGTTTAACGTCAAGTTGCTGCGTGGCGGTTTTGCATGACATTTCATGATGACGCCAGTGTTTTTTTCCCCTTTCCCCAAGACGTCTGACGTCGAGGACCTGGAATCGGAATTCTGTGATCTAGGAGATAACCAGTGCTCCGGTACCATATTGGGTGGTGGCAAGCCTTTGTGTTTGCCCCGCGTATCAACTTCCCTAGTATACATGAACATAGCAGCCTCTCACGTCACGCCAGACCAGCAGAGCTTGCGCCTAGATGATTACTACAGGAAGCTTTTGAAGCAAGCAGTAGCCAAACACCGGACCAGATAGCCTTGTGAGAAAGGCAAAATGATCGACCCTCACGAAAACAAAAGGGTCCTGTGTTGAGGTGATTACATGCATGCCTAGGAATAGCTGCTCGAGATTTGCAACCTACAACAAGCCACTTGGGCAGACTGTGTTGCATGCCTTATGCCTAACAGGGCTAAAAAGACTGTGCTTGTCTTTTGCTGACTGTGCCTTGGGCATAAATCTACTGAATTAGCAAAAGATAAGCTGAGCTACTCATTTGCTAAGCCAGTGCGAACGTTAGGCACATAATGAGCATCATACCCAAGTCGGGGACTCATGTTGCGAATGGTTGAACTGTTAGACGCTCTGCACTACTTGTCTCTTGATATTCTGACCACCATCTGCATTTGGTATTTATTCGCACCCAACTTGCTGCATCATCTGCACGTGCATCCACATGGTTTGCACCCATACCTTACCTATGTGGCCGTTCAGCCAACCAGCTCGCCATACTCGGACGGCTGGAGACCAGACGAGCCAGGTAACAGCTTAGTGACGTGAAGGGGCATTATGAGGACGGTATTCGGACATATTTTACCGCGTTTGTTCTCTATCCTGCCACACAATTTTATACTACTGTGCACTGCTATGACTAACTCCAATAGCGAGCCTAGTACGAACACATTATATAGCATCGCGGCAACTATGCTGTGTCGCAGTACCATCAGTCTCAGCTTCAGTCGCAGTCAGATGTTGCCCAATTGGAGGGAAACCAAAGAGGCGGTGACTCGCCAACAAGTCCATGAGGATCGGAGAATGTTTGTGTATCATCCTACGTCTCGTCTACCATTGTCAGCTGTTGTTGTTGTTGTTGTCCGTCATGTTCATATGGCCATTTGTTGTTCAGCGCTTTTCGGGATTTGAAGCCAGTCAGGGGAGACCGCTCATTGCAATTTCGCGACCCGGCATCCCCAGGCCGCGGTGTCTCCGTGTAGGGGTCGCCCGTTTGGAAGTTCGCACGCCCACAAATTCTGGTCAAGGGCTCAAGAACCACGGACCCGTGAAACTGTGGATACGAAGTCAGTCAGTCAGTCGAGTGATGAAAGAGTCTAACGTAGTATGGTCACTACTCAACAAGTGTGGAGTCACGATGTCCTGCTCTGCTTGCTTGGCCAGCGAATGCAACGGATCTGATGGGCCAGAAAAGAAAAAAAAAACACACAAGGCCGCCATCATGTACCTGTATGAAAAGACCTTGCCGAAAACAAGTTGCACTAGACGAGGGTTGACAAGATCCCTGACAGCCACGCGCAGATCTGACGGCCTGGCAAATCGGTGCTGACGGTGTTGCAACAGAGACGAGCCAGACACAAAGCTGGCTGGGAGGTTATTGGGTTGCTAGGTATTTGAAGGCTGAAAAGTAAGCTGGTACCAACCATGCCTGTGGTTGCATCCAAGTGGACCCCTCGTCTGCCCGCTGGCACCATCGGCAGCAATGCGTGGGAAAACGCATGGAGGCCATGCTTTACTGACTTTACCTTGATCAGTGGCCGAGACGAATCAGATCCCAGTTTGGCCATGTACGGTGTCCCAATTCCTACATACCATGTGGCTCATGCGCTGCTGGCTCGTGGAGCTGGGGAGCGCGTGGTGTGGTGCGGTGCCCTGTCGACACGCCGCCGTCTCCTCTCCTTTGTATCAGACCGACCCCACATCATCATCTTGACCTTTTTTTTTTTTCTTCTTGCCCTCTCACTCTCACTCTCTAACACAGTATGTCAGCGTCTGGCAGCACACAGTACTCATGCATACGTAGAGTTGAGTCCATCTAATAATCCCAACCTTGCCCAGCAGAATAAATAAGCCGATGCCGAGCGTGTCCAGGGCGAGGTTAAATCTTCAGGCATATATGCACCGCCGAGGGCGAAACGGTAGGACTCCCCCAGTACGACTTGTTAGAATGCTACACAGCTGCAGTCAGCTTTTTAGGAAAAGAGAAAATATAGAGAAACAAATAAAAAAGTCTCTCCTTTTTGGCGACAAGGTGTACCGGTATGAGTTCCGATCGGGTTACTGGCACGGCACATCAGCCCATCAGCGGGCATATATGTGACTATCGTACATACAAGGAAGGCCTCACTCATTCATCGCCGCCCTGGAAGCCCCGAGGCGGCAATCGTGCTAGGCTACAGGAATAAATGATAGAACGTCTTCCACGGAAAGATTCCTTCTGCATACGAGTGTGGTTGCACCACTGCCATGTGGCTCGGTTTTGCCTCTATGCCGTGATTGTGCCACTGAGATGAGGTGCTGCTGCCTACCCTCACTCATGCCCGCAAACAAACGGGTCAGTAATTATTGGCTGCTGCATATGTTGTCTCTGTCAGCCGTTGTAAGATGACCTCACTACCTGGCACCGCGGCAAGACGATTTGCGAGGGCCGCCCAGATCCCCTTCGTTTCGGCATTGGTGACAAGAATCGAGAGAACACGGCAATTCCCCCCTGCTAGTGACTCCTTTGGATGCCCGCTTCGTAATGGGTGAGATGACAGTTTGAGGATAGAGACAGACCTATTTTAGGCGACTGACCACGGAGACAAAAAGAGATTTGAGTGTGCTTGTTTGTTCTCTTTGCAAGTGCCGTAGTCCAGACCGTTCGGAAGATCATCTCTAATATCTTGGTATCTAGGAGGTCCGGCTTGGTCGGTTGCTTGGATTGGGTTGGGTTGGGTTACGGCTTCATCTGTCAGCAACCAGGTCTGTAATCTGTACCTGGCAAAAGACCATGTATGATTCAATATACCGACTCTTCCTGGACCCTTTATTCGGTTATCGGTGAAGATTTGTAACACAGAGGAGGAGGACAGGCATCTTGGCTCACAAGAGTTATCTATCTCTTGCTACGTAGCCAAGTGGTAGCCATGTCGCACCCCACGTATCTTCAGTCTGCCCTTTGCAAACACGACATTTTTGGACAAAGCTGTAATAACTTTGGGCAAGGGTCCGTCCGCTCTTTCAAAGCATCTCTTGGAGGGACATTGTTCCAAACGTCGAGTCTCCCGCCCACGTGTTATTATTATCTATTGTTATCATCATTTTATACCAAGCCACTGTTCCTCTGCGGTACCATGTTCACTTCTCAGTCAATGATGACATATCCATTGGCCGAAATGCAAATCCATAAGACCTGGACAGAAGAGGTATTATTACTGGAGGCGTGCATCCATTCATGGATGATGGATCTGTCGGAGAAGACAAAACCATGTGCTAAAATCCGACACACAGTGTGGGCGGGGTTACAGGCGTTGGCCCCCAGAGCTGGAGGGGGGCGCCCCTTCCAGAGCGCTGATTTTTTACCCTTTTCTTCCTAACCCACAGGCAATGTCGAACGAACTGCTTCTGCTTAGCCTACTATGTAGCATGTGCGCACTGCAGCACGCACGAGAGCAGGTAGCAGCAGCATACGGACTAGCGCCGCAGATGCAGGAAGAAGAAAAAGAAAACCTCCCCTCTTTTTTTCTCAAGGCCCGCCCCCCAAGACAACACACATGGCAACGCTTGCACACACCCGTTTCTGTAAACCCATTCCCGGTTATGATTTGTAGTACCGCTTATTCCCATTCCCAGATTTCGCCTGCAAACGCACAAAGGAATAGAATGGGAAAGGGCGGGACTTTATCACAAGTTGATTACAACACTACCTACCTACATAAATGTAATATCTATGCAGGTGCTTATATTCGCCCCCAACCAACCAGGCCAAGATCGCTACTTAGTCTGTAGGGGTATGTCAATCTCTATCATCTTCATTAGATATCACATTTATTATCTAGTGCAGAGCAAGGTCGGCCGCACTCTGCAGTATACAGTATATTTGTTTATTCAATTTATTCTTGCTATACGTTTACATACGTACACACTCAACTGGCCTCAATCAGAGCACTACAATAGATGGGGGAGGAGGGACAAGAGCGGCGTGTCGGACATATTGACAGGCACACCACACGATGCACCTACATATGCATTATTCACGCGGTTCCTTTCCGAATGGCCACCCCCCTTTTTGTTCTTTCTCCCAGACGAATTCCGTACTACAGAAGAAAGAGCCAGTTCTCTTTGAATGTGATGAATGGGGTATTTTAGGTACTTGGTTGATAGATGAGCTGAATGCGAATGAACGGATGCTAAAGAGACGATCATCGACTACGATTCCGTACAGTATGACTACAACGGAGGGAAGGAAGGAAAAAAAAAAAAAAAATGGATGGAGGCGACGACCGCAGCATGTACAGTACACTGAGCGCTGACAGACACTACCGCATGAGCAAAATCTCCATGGGTACTGATACCTTCGCACGCGAGTTCTTACATTTTTTCCCCCCCTCCCCTCCTGCTGCTCTCCCTTTCCATGACCCTGGTGCCTCGTTTTTCAGGGGAACCCCGGCTTCTGTTGAACTGACTTTCTCCTCCTAAACCACATGGCGACCCGCACCTATCAAGCCTAGTTGGAAAAACCCCCCTCTTTTATTTTTTTCTTTCTTTTCTTCAACCACGCTCTCTGGCCCCGGCCCGCAAGCGTCTTCCTTTTTAATTCCATATTTGAATCAGTGTGAATGGGCTACGGGCTGGTTTTTCGATCGTCGTACTACTGTGTTTTCCTTGCCCGGCTACTAATTTGGCGGTAGATGGCTGCTCTGGCTTTGCGAAACCAAAACCAGAACCAGCCGAATCCGTCTAGCACGAGCACTAAAACGAGCACCACCAATCCCGCCGTCGCCGCATTGTCTAACGCAAACACTACTCCCTTCACTAATTCCACTGCTGTAGCAGAAGTAGAACCAGAACCAGCTGCTGGGGCTTCTGTCACCTCTGTTCCGCCTTCTTGTCCTGCTGCTACTGCTGCTGCTGCTGCTACTACTACTTCTCCGCTGCCTTCTCGTCTCACGCCAGGAAAAGGCCTGCCCAAGGTGGACACGGATCACAAACCCGCTCCGCCTTCCTCTGCGGGCCTAGAAGCCAACCACGTCCAAGCGACGACCGCCTCTACTACTACCACCACGCCTACGACTACGACTACTCCTCTTATTATTGCTTCTTCTTCTTCTTCTTCTACTCCTACTACTACTACCTCTTTGTCAGTTCCCACTACTGCTAGTAATAGTAGTAGCAACCAAAGTAGTAGCAAAAATAGTAGTACCACCGCTTCTTCTTCGTCGCCTCCTTGTGCCACGGCTCATCAAGCTACTACTGCTGCTACTTTCCTCTACTCCTCTGCCGGTCCCTGTCCCTGCTCGAGTCCCGGTCCTGGTCTCAGTAGTGCCAGCTCCAGTTTGAGTCTGGGTACCAGCAGCAGTACCATTACTACTACTTCTACTAGAACCGCCAGCACCACCACAAGCCGCAGTCTGAGCGGCAGTAGTAATAACAGCGCAAGCCCAGCCAAACCCACATCATCATCATCCTCCTCCTCCACGTCCACGGCTCTGGCTTTCGTCGAAGCTTCTCCCGACGGCCCCATTGCTTCTACCTTGAACAATTCCCGTCAACACCAATTGACCGCATCCACCAGCACCACTCCATCCTCCTCCCTGTTGTCACCGTCCACAACAACAAAACCACTACAGAAACCTGGTGGTCTCCTAGATTTTGCTCGGTCTTTTTCTTATACACCATCACCACACTCTCCTGCTGCCGCTGCCGCCGAGCCCGCCGTGGTGCGTCCCCGCAACTCGTCCAGTGCACTCGCTCGTCTGAGCCTTCTTCACAACAACTTCCTCAGCTTGAGCCGGCCTCTCTCCTTTACTCCTGCTCTCGACTCTCCCACCAGTGCCGGTGATCTCTCTCCTCGTTTTGGCGCCTTTTCCGCCAACTCGTCCGCCGCGACAACTCCCGCAGTGCCTTGCAGTCCTCAATTTGAAGGCAAGCGCTCCAGCCAACTGTCGCTCGTGGGGGACCCTATTTCCAGGCCTTACAGCGAGACGGACCCCAACACAACACCGCCAATTCTCATAAAAGCCGAGAAAAAGATGCATCAAACATCGTCGAGGCTGCTCCGAATGACGGACGATGACCGTCCATTCACGAGGGTAAGTCAAAGATGAAATTTTGCGATTTTTGGACTGTTCAGACATGTTCTTCAAGTTACGAACATGGGTCTTTTCGCATCATCACTGTCATTTATCTGCGCATTCTGCAGCAAAATGGGGAACAGGGTTTTCGTGCCAAAGGGGGAACAAGATCAATGATTGGTGACTCGAACATGTGCACCTCTTTTTGACCACAGGCAACTGCATCTGTTACTGTTATTCTCTTGGCCAATGGCATTCTACCCATCTGCGCCCCCGAGTCCTTGAGTAAACGGTCTCGCTAACATTATTCTGCTCTAGGATTTCAAGGACTTGTTCTCGACCCTGATCGTCAGTTTATTACCACTGGGTGCACACCGAGTGCGTTTGACGAGGGTGGAACACACCTTCCTGTCGGAAGATGCCATTAACAACCTGGGCTCGCTCAAGTTCTCGCAGTCTAACCGTATGCCAGATCCCAAGGATCCTTCGCGTATCGTCACAACTACAACCACCACCACCTTTTCCATGGCCAAGGACATGGCAAGATCGATATGTCAGCGATTTGTGGAGGCAAGATTTATCGAATCCGCTGATGGCAAGCTGCAACAAGTCTACACTATGAAGGGGTCTGTTTGGCAGCTGACGCCAAAGGGAGTCGCCATTTTGGACACTTTCTGCTCTCGAAACGGCATTCAACAAAGACAAATCGGTGACCTGGTTGCTACAGGAGTCAGTCAATTGGTCATCCTAGAAAGAGACGCCCAGTCGGACAAGATTGTCATGGACCGGGGAACGATGGAGGTTGTTTTTCGACGTTTCTGTGGTGCAAACGGCCTCAATCTCAAGTCTAGCGTCAGTTCTGCCGACTCTGATTCGCTCAGCGACTATCGCGATGGAATGACTGGTGTCAAGATGGCTATTGAGCGAAAGATTACGGGTAAGACGTTCAAGGAGACCTTTACCGGCAAGGGCTGCTCGGACTGGCTGATGGACTGCGCTACCACCGTGGACCGTCGGGAAACATACGAGATGGCTTCCCTTTTCGTCGAATATGGTTTGATGGAGTCGGTACAACAAGACCGAGGTTACATGGCCAACTCGTCGTCTGGCGCCCTTTTCCAGCCCACAAAGAATGCCATTTACCAAATGACGGCTAGAGGCCGAGAAGTCTTCAACGGAGCTGGTGGCCGGGGTCGCACATCGGAAAGCGAAAGCACCATCTCGGCACGTCCTGGTATTGCCCGTGATTCCAACACTCAGCGTCTGGACAAGATCCTGAATGATGCTGCTTTGAGACTGCTGTTCCGTGAGAATCTTCGCGAGACGCATTGCGAAGAGAACTTGTCATTTTATCTGGATGTTGACGAGTTTGTTCGGGGATGCCGGCAGGCAATTCGTTCTGCCCAGAAGAACCCCAATGCCACCTCCATGGACGGGATCAAGGAGATCATGGCCCAAGCTTACGGCATTTACAATGCATTCTTGGCCCCCGGCTCTCCTTGCGAGCTGAACATTGACCACCAGCTTCGTAACAACTTGGCCACCCGCATGACCAAGGCTGTAGGACAAGATGTCGCTATGATCGACACCCTACACGAGGTGACGGCTCTGTTCGAGGATGCACAGAATGCTGTCTTCAAGCTGATGGCTAGTGTATGTCATCATGTCTACTCCCCTCGCCCTTGTGAAATACTTTGCTGACCCCCAACATAGGACTCGGTACCCAAATTCCTGCGCAACGCAAAATACGAGAACACCCTCAAGAACTACGATTTCGATAACATTGCCGGACTTCCTGGAGGTCGTGTTCCGGAGAGGAGCCAGAGCAGGTCTAACCGAAAGTAAATGTTCCAATCCTGTCGCGGCTGCCACGACGGGAGTGACACTACCTGACTGCTGCGGTCGAAGGACTTTTCCAGACCAACAATCCTCACTGGATAGCTTGATCGATCGACGATATACCCAGGGCGATGCTGTTTAGCCTCGCAGGCTCGCTATTTTTCTGTGCATACAACGCATGTGTTCTCCGAGCGTGTTCATCTTCGATCAACCTAATACGATCCCTTCAAGGCTCTGTTTTACCACAGTCAAGACTTTACTGCATTTCTGGACAATGATGGCGTTGGAAGGATAATAAACCAGCATAGACGTTTCCTCCAGCACCACGCCAACCGTGAAAGTCAATGATGACCTTTTAGTGGGGATTTTTGTTTCAGTCTTTTTTCTCTTTTTTCTTTTTTTTTATCCAAACTCTTGTTCATTTTCTTTGTCAATTCGGCTGATTCGGGCCCATACACAAGGCATTCAAGGGGTGAAGTCTGGGAAGGAAAATCATATCCTCCTGGATGTGCCTTCGGTTTTCGAGCTGAAGCAATACAGCGTTTTCTAGGAAACGCGAGGGGAGGGACATAAACAACCGACTGTTGTGGTGAAAGAGGGGAAAGGGAAGCGTCATGATTAATCGTCCTCAAGAGGGGTCATTCCGATTATCTCGATGTGCCCATGAGAGTTACGTACCTTGAACGACTATCCGGACGGGCTACTGTCCAATCATATTCTCGACCACCTGTATATACAAGACAAAATTAAACAGAGACACCGGTACAATACCAAGGTCCTCGAGATGAATATTAAAAATCCAGCTTAAAAAGACGAATGCATATCTGTATGAAGCCTGGTGAAAGGGATGATGAGCTTTCAATTGTGGTCGAGTATGGAATGTCTCGGAGCAACGAGTCCAGCTTCGCCCTGGCTGGAACGCACTTCTCCATACTGGCTGAAAGTGACATTCCAAGGTCCACCCCAAGCATTCTCTTTAACTGCTGTTTTGTTTTGTTCCTCGCCTCGCCTACTGTGTCCATTGGACTAATCTGGGTATTTAGTGTTTAATTGCAGATTCTTTCGTGCACAACAGTAACACAATCCACACAATCGTCACGTAGTCGCTGTGTGCTTAAAGACAGCTCTTCTTCGAACTGAAGGGAAACATCTTGCTCTACTTCCAGCGTCATCAGTTCTTGACTTGCCCAGTTCTTTCGCTTACAGTCGCTCATTACAACACTGCTACTTTTGCATTTTCTCTGCTTCTTGCAGATTCAGAAGGGATTCATCACCAATCTTCAAACTTCTCCAAGACACTTCACGTTTACAGACCCAAAAATTCAACATGCAATCTAGGGCTGTCCTCTTTGGCTTTGTCGCCGCCGCCTCGGCACAGACCTCTGACAACACCAGCACGGAAACGGGCTCCATGACCGAAATGGCCTCGACCCTCGTCACTGCCTCGCCCATGGTCACAACCGAACCATCTTCGACTGCTGCCGCCATGATGAACGGTACTATCATTGACGCCGGAGCGGCCGCGAGCAGCGGTAATGCTACATGGACCTACTTTAACACCACTGTCACGGCTACTGTGGTCGTAGCCGAGCTCACCACCTTCTGCGGTGCTGCCACCACTCTGACTTTTAACGGTGTCGAGTTCCCGGCCACCGAGGGCGAAACTATTACCATTACCAACTGCCCTTGCACTGTCACAACCGTAAGTCTTCTCGGCCCTTTTCACTCCTAAATGGCCCACGCTCACATGGGACAAAATAAAAGACCACCCCAACCTTGACCTCTGAGATCTGTCCTGGTCCCACGGGTGGCGCGGGCTCTTCTGCTGTTCCTCCCCCTCCCCCTCCTCCTCCGGCCAATAATGCTGCTTCCGGTGGCGGCGAGGCCGCGACAGTTCCCGGTGCCGCCTCAGCCAGCACATATGTGGCGCCCAGCGCGCCAACCTCGGGCGTTGTCGAGGTTTCCGCAGCGTCGTCCTTTTCGAGCAGCATGGGACTGTTGGGCGCCGCGATTATTGGATTCGCTGGGCTTATTTCCCTATAAAAAAGAGGATGACCTGGGTTTCACTCCCAACACAACCTTGTTGGAGGACTTGACGTCAAAAATGATGATGAGACCATGATGTCTTTTTTTGATCTCATGAGGATGGGTATGAGAGGAGGAAAGGGTAAAGTGTTCATGGTGCTGCTTTGTTTTGTATGTCTTGTCTTTTAAAACATTCATGTTATTGCCCCGAAACGGAGTAAACGGCACGGAAATCAATATGGATATCTTTGGGCAACCTAAAGGGCAGCTTAAGGAGAAAAGAGGGGAGTTGAATGTCGTTCTTTACTACACTCATGGTTCGCAAATTTTGGTTTGGGATGCACAATATTGTTCTTTTCTCTTTGAGCTGTTGTAATTACAATAGGATTTTGAATTCATCCCTTCTTGCTATTGTTATAGGTTCTCTTGCTCGCCCTCAGATATTTGGTGTACATCATGTTCAAGCGAGTTTCAGGTATTCGTTGCCATCCTACTTCGTATGCCTGAAAAGGAACCAAGCAAATTTCGAATAGTTCACATGTGGTTTCGCCGAACTGTCTGAGCTTCATCCCCCCCCCC